TGTTCTCCTCACCCTCCTTCCCTGTTCTCCTCACCCTCCTTCCTTGTTCTCCTCACCCTCCTTCCTTGTTCTCCTCACCCTCCTTCCTTGTTCTCCTCACCCTCCTTCCTTGTTCTCCTCACCCTCCTTCCCTGTTCTCCTCACCCTCCTTCCCTGTTCTCCTCACCCTCCTTCCCTGTTCTCCTCACCCTCCTTCCCTTGTTCTCCTCACCCTCCTTCCCTGTTCTCCGCACCCTCCTTCCCTGTTCTCCTCACCCTCCTTCCCTGTTCTCCTCACCCTCCTTTCCTTCCTCATTCTCCTCACCCTCCTTCCCTGTTCTCCTCACCCTCCTTCCTTGTTCTCCTCCTCGGCCGCCGTCTCCATGGACTCCGACTCCGGCTGCTCCCCGCTGACTTTCTCCTGCTCGTCGATCCAGTCGGAGACGGCCTTGAGCGCTCGCTCCGTGTGGGAAACCATGTTCTGCACTGCCTCCAGCTCCTCCTGCGTGGGGTACACGGCCGAGTGCTTGGCCATCACGTGCCGGTCGTCGTTGACGAAGATCCGCATCGGGCGCTGCCAAGGGATGAGTTCGGGACAACTCAGGGGTGCCCCGGGACACAAATGCCCTTCCAATGGGTGGGAATCCCCCCCATCTCTTACCATTTTTGCTTCCCGACGTCCCTCCGAGCGTTCCAGAGGCGTTTATGTGGACTTTTCCAGCGGGGAGACCGTGGCGGCACCGCGGCGTTGCGGGAGCTGGAAGGGACGGGGAGCCGGGTGAGCGGGGCCGGGGAGCGGGAACGGCCATTCCGGGGCTGCCAACTCCCAGCCCACAGCCCGGGCTTCTGCTCCCAAGGATTTGTATCCCTGAGAGCCGGAGGGTGCCCCCGGAAAGCTTCCAGAGGGTTCGGCGCCCTCCGGGGCACAGACACCCCTCTGAGGGTCCAATCCCTTATTCCCTCTTATTCCCAAGAGGTTTTCCAACGAAACGGGATTTTCCCTAAAGCTCCTGCTCCCGTCCCCAAACCAGACAGAACCCCCTGCTGCCCCAGGATGGCTAATTAATTAATGAACCAAACGAGGGAAGAGTCGGCTGTGCCTCTCCTCCTGCTCCTCACACAGGGATCCCAGCACAGATCCCTCTGCCAGATCCAGGGGCAGATCCCAGCACGGATCCCTCTGCCTCATCCAGGGGCAGATCCCAGCACAGATCCCTCTGCCAGATCCACAGGCAGATCCCAGCACAGATCCCTCTGCCACATCCACAGGCAGATCCCAGCACAGATCCCTCTGCCAGATCCAGGGGCAGATCCCAGCATGGATCCCTCTGCCACATCCAGGGGCA